TCCAGGATACCACTCCTCTACATCTACAACCAGTCCCCTCCAAGGTACCCCTCCTCTACATCTACAACCAGTCCCCTCCAAGATACCACTCCTCTACATCTACAACCAGTCCCCTCCAAGATACCCCTCCTCTACATCTACAACCAGTCCCCTCCAAGATACCACTCCTCTACATCTACAACCAGTCCCCTCCAAGATACCACTCCTTTACCTCTACAACCAGTCACCACCAAGATACCCCTCCTCTACAACTAGTCCCCTCCAGGATACCACTCCTCTACATGTACAACCAGTCCCCACAAAGATACCCCTCCTCTACATCTAAAACCAGTCACCACAAAGACACCACTCCTCTACATCTACAACCAGTCTCCACCAGGATACACCTCATCTACATCTACAATCAGTCCCATCCAAGATACCCCTCCTCTACATCTACAACCAGTCTCCACCAAGATACACCTCATCTACATCTACAACCAGTCTCCACTAAGATACCCCTCCTCTACATCTACAACCAGTCTCCACCAAGATACCCCTCCTCTACATCTACAACCAGTCTCCACCAAGATATCCCTCCTCTACATCTACAACCAGTCTCCACCAAGATAAACCTCCTCTACATCTACAACCAGTCTCCACCAGGATACACCTCATCTACATCTACAACCAGTCCCCTCCAAGATACCACTCCTCTACATCTACAACCAGTCTCCACTAAGATACCCCTCCTCTACATCTACAACCAGTCTCCACCAAGATACCCCTCCTCTACATCTACAACCAGTCCCCACAAAGATACCCCTCTACATCTTCAACCAGTCCCCTCCAAGATACACCTCCTCTACATCTATAATCAGTCCCCTCCAAGATACCCCTCCTCTACATCTACAACCAGTCTCCACCAAGATACCCCTCCTCTACATCTACAACCAGTCTCCACCAAGATACACCTCATCTACATCTACAACCAGTCCCCTCCAAGATACCACTCCTCTACATCTACAACCAGTCCCCTCCAAGATACCCCTCCTCTACATCTACAACCAGTCTCCACCAAGATACACCTCCTCTACATCTACAACCAGTCACCACCAAGATACCCCTCCTCTACATCTACAACCAGTCTCCACCAAGATACACCTCATCTACATCTACAACCAGTCACCACCAAGATACACCTCATCTACATCTACAACCAGTCCCCACTAAGATACCCCTCCTCTACATCTACAACCAGTCCCCTCCAAGATACCCCTCCTCTACATCTACAGTCAGTCCCCACAAAGATAGCCCTCCTCTACATCTACAGTCAGTCCCCACAAAGATAGCCCTCCTCTACATGTACAACCAGTCCCCACAAAGATACCCCTCCTCTACATGTACAACCAGTCACCTTCAAGATACCCCTCCTCTACATCTACAACCAGTCCCCTCCAAGATACCCCTCTTCTACATCTACAGTCAGTCCCCACAAAGATAACCCTCCTCTACATGTACAACCAGTCCCCACAAAGATACCCCTCCTCTACATGTACAACCAGTAACCACCAAGATACCCCTCCTCTACATCTATATCCAGTCCCCACCAAGATACCCCTCCTCTACATCTACAACCAGTAACCACCAAGATACCCCTCCTCTACATCTATATCCAGTCCCCACCAAGATACCCCTCCTCTACATCTACAACCAGTAACCACCAAGATACCCCTCCTCTACATCTATATCCAGTCCCCACCAAGATACCCCTCCTCTACATCTACAACCAGTCCCCTCCAAGATACCCCTCCTCTACAGCGACAAGCAGTAACCTCTAGTATACCCATTTTCTCCATCTACAATATCGCGTTAAGTTTACACAGAATTCTCAATTTGTTCAAACCACCCTGGACTTTGACTTCTGTAGAAGGACGGGACTGTAGCTTGAAATAAGAAAAATACACCTGAAAGACATTTTCATCTTTCAATACTACAGTGACGTTGAGTTTTGGTATATTGTTGTTTTGAAGGATTGATAAATGTGTTTTCTTGTTTAAGATTGACAAACTATTTCCACTAAGGCTATATGTAACAGGCACACTATGTTATTGATGTATCGGATAATTCGTTTACGGAGAGAGCGATATTGGGTACATTTCTGAATGAAGAAGAATATCGCGAAAACGATTATCATCAGGTTATCGGTAGATACGATTTTGTATTGAAGGATTGACAAAAATATTTTGTTGCTGACAGATAAGACGTTCAAATAATGTACCGACAGATATCTTACTGAAGAAGTTACTGATAAAAGTTATTGGAAGGCAAATGGGACAGACAGCATTTAGTATATACCAGACAAGTCATTATTGAATACAGACTACTTCTGTAGGACTCAGAGATAAAATTTATTATCGAGGAGTTGAAAATTAGATTTTGTTATTAAAGGATCGACCGGAAATACTATTGACTGAAAACGACTTATCGTTATTAGATTCACTGGTACAATAAAGATAAATACATTATCAGATTGGTAGGTATGTTTTGTTACTGTGGGTTTGGTAGGTATGTTTTGTTACGGTATGTTTGGTAGGTATGTTTTGTTACTGTAGGATTGGTAGGTATGTTTTGTTACTGTAGGTTTGGTAGGTATATTTTGTTACTGTAGGTTTGGTAGGTATGTTTTGTTACTGTAGGTTTGGTAGGTATGTTTTGTTACTGTAGGTTTGGTAGGTATGTTTTGTTACTGTAGGTTTGGTAGGTATGTTTTGTTACTGTAGGTTTGGTAGGTATGTTTTGTTACTGTAGGTTTGGTAGGTATGTTTTGTTACTGTAGGTTTGGTAGGTATATTTTGTTACGGTATGTTTGGTAGGTATGTTTTGTTACTGTAGGTTTGGTAGGTATGTTTGTTACTGTAGGTTTGGTAGGTATGTTTTGTTACTGTATGTTTGGTAGGTATGTTTTGTTACTGTAGGTTTGGTAGGTATGTTTTGTTACTGTAGGTTTGGTAGGTATGTTTGGTAGGTATGTTTTGTTACTGTAGGTTTGGTAGGTATGTTTTGTTACTGTAGGTTTGGTAGGTATGTTTTGTTACGGTATGTTTGGTAGGTATGTTTTGTTACTGTAGGTTTGGTAGGTATGTTTTGTTACTGTGGGTTTGGTAGGTATGTTTTGTTACTGTAGGTTTGGTAGGTATGTTTTGTTACTGTAGGTTTGGTAGGTATGTTTTGTTACTGTAGGTTTGGTAGGTATGTTTTGTTACTGTAGGTTTGGTAGGTATGTTTTGTTACTGTATGTTTGGTAGGTATGTTTTGTTACTGTAGGTTTGGTAGGTATGTTTGTTACTGTAGGTTTGGTAGGTATGTTTTGTTACTGTATGTTTGGTAGGTATGTTTTGTTACTGTAGGTTTGGTAGGTATGTTTTGTTACGGTATGTTTGGTAGGTATATTTTGTTACTGTAGGTTTGGTAGGTAGGATTCTTACTGTAGGTTTGGTAGGTATGTTTTGTTACGGTATGTTTGGTAGGTATATTTTGTTACTGTAGGTTTGGTAGGTATGGCTTGTTACTGTGGGTTTGGTAGGTATGTTTTGTTACTGTAGGTTTGGTAGGTATATTTTGTTACTGTAGGTTTGGTAGGTATGTTTTGTTACTGTAGGTTTGGTAGGTATGTTTTGTTACTGTAGGTTTGGTAGGTATGTTTTGTTACTGTAGGTTTGGTAGGTATGTTTTGTTACTGTAGGTTTGGTAGGTATATTTTGTTACTGTATGTTTGGTAGGTGTGTTTTGTTACTGTATGTTTGGTAGGTATATTTTGTTACGGTATGTTTGGTAGGTATGTTTTGTTACGGTATGTTTGGTAGGTATATTTTGTTACTGTAGGTTTGGTAGGTATGTTTTGTTACTGTAGGTTTGGTAGGTATATTTTGTTACTGTAGGTTTAGTAGGTATGTTTTGTTACTGTAGGTTTGGTAGGTATGGTTTGTTACTGTAGGTTTGGTAGGTATGTTTTGTTACTGTAGGTTTGGTAGGTATGGTTTGTTACTGTAGGTTTGGTAGGCATGTTTGTTACTGTAGGTTTGGTAGGTATGTTTTGTTACTGTAGGTTTGGTAGGTATGTTTTGTTACTGTGGGTTTGGTAGGTATGTTTTGTTACTGTAGGTTTGGTAGGTATGTTTTGTTACTGTAGGTTTGGTAGGTATATTTGTTACTGTAGGTTTGGTAGGTATGTTTTGTTACTGTAGGTTTGGTAGGTATGTTTTGTTACTGTAGGTTTGGTAGGTATGTTTTGTTACTGTAGGTTTGGTAGGTATGTTTTGTTACTGTAGGTTTGGTAGGTATGTTTTGTTACTGTATGTTTGGTAGGTATGTTTTGTTATTGTAGGTTTGGTAGGTAGGTTAGTTACTGTAGGTTTGGTAGGTATATTTTGTTACTGTACGTTTGGTAGGTATGTTTTGTTACTGTAGGTTTGGTAGGTATGTTTTGTTACTGTAGGTTTGGTAGGTATGTTTTGTTACTGTAGGTTTGGTAGGTATATTTTGTTACTGTACGTTTGGTAGGTATGTTTTGTTACTGTAGGTTTGGTAGGTATGTTTTGTTACTGTAGGTTTGGTAGGTATGTTTTGTTACTGTAGGTTTGGTAGGTATGTTTTGTTACTGTAGGTTTGGTAGGTATGTTTTGTTACTGTAGGTTTGGTAGGTATGGCTTGTTACTGTAGGTTTGGTAGGTATACTTGTTACAGTAGTAGATGACAGAATGACATATCTATATGTAAGTAGTAAAAGATAAATTTCCACAACCATTTTTAATGAAATTTCAATTCTTTAGTATAACATAACCTTATATATGTATGTTTTGTCTTTATATCCTGACCGTCAATAAAGGGACATAACCAAACAAACATCTGACAATAAGGTAAATCGTGCTCTATACAAATACAGTAATAAAACAACACGGTGTGAGATAGTAACTAGGTGACTAAATAGAAATAGGAAAAGTGGATGGTGAATGCGTTACCTTGGCGGCCGGCGACGAGTTTGGTTGGTCAAGAAAAAGCCAGCAAGTCCTTTTGATTTTGACCCACTTGCTGCTATCAGCCTCCTTGGGATTGTAGTCCAGTACTTTGGCTTCAAAGGCCTCATGAAGGGTATCTAGAACCTCACGGTCCGTGTCATATTTAAAGTAGGTCTGAAGGCAACATATTCCTATCCTGTCCTCAGGTATTCTCCAGAACTTTAGTTCCGTCCTCAGGGTGGCGCCACAAAAACCATGCGGTAGATGTAATTCCCCGGTCCGGTACAAATCCAGAACACAGTTAAATATGTCGGGGTTCCTGTCAAAGAAAAAATGTCCCCTTGTAGGTCTATATTCCGGTGAGGAAGGTCTGAGCGTAGCTAGTAAAGTATCCGGTTCATGTCGTAAAGTTTCATAAGTTGTTTCAAAAATAGTTCCGCCTACATTTAGGACAACTGGTTCACTGTCGTCCTCCTCCTTGTCAGTATCCGCCATTTTTGTATGTATGGCATGGATTACACTGTCATTGTGCACGTTTGAGCGGGCTAACGTTAGGCCTATGTAGTGGTGATGATGGTGACGAAACATAAGCGAGGCGCTATATTATGTCTCCCCCGACGTCCTGCTGTTTCTCCCAGTGCCTTGCGCACCATACTACGTACGCTCAACACTACCTCCTCACGCGCGTGGCGGGAAAGGCTTGCAATATATCTCCCTAGTATCTTAAATTGTCATTTATGTACGGACTGGTGTGCACATGTGGACTTGACTTACCTACATGTATATAAAATATATATTATATATAACTGTGTTCTTTTAAGTAAATAATTGAATAACTCCAGAACGTGTGTTGAACCTGTGAAATCAGCTGCAATAAAGACGCTGTAACTCACTCCGTGTCGCCTCTGAGCACAGCCGATTGGCCTTTTGTGCGATTGATTTTAAGTATTAAAGGTTATGCCGTTATGTACTATGAGGTATTGGGACAGTGCCCCTGTTCCCGTCACTACAGCTGCAATGCGGCCGGCCTTATGCGGAGCTCGTTGGTGAGTACAGTCGCGTGCCCGAGACGTGCTCTTACTCCCCGTTACTGGGGACGCGACACGTGGGAAGATCGCGCGCCGCTGAAACGGTTCATTGCTAAATAGTCGGTTTTCAATCGAATTAGATGTATTGGCACAACTACCACGAGTTTCCCCTAGTTCTTAGTATAACATATTAAAACAAACACAAGAGTTAACGATACTGCCATTTAATACTACGAATATAATAATTCTATTTTCAAAGCTTTTTAACATCTCGGCGTGCAAACATTTTTCACCCACAGTTAGAATGAAAGCCCTTTCATACTTGTATCACACTGGTATTTCCTGAAGTCAGATACACAGCTTTCATATTCCTTAACCTCGGCGAGTTTATGTTTTAGTCATCTAAGTCGTACACAGACGTATTCTCTAAACACAGTCTATAACTTTCACAGGGAAAAAGTCGTTGTATACAGGAGGTCGTTACACACAGGTCATAATTAGCAGTTAATCACTATATAGATACGTTACACGGATTATTACTATGACAGGAGTTCGTTAATTATATGTCACTATACACCGAAAGTTACTGTACAGATACTCACTCCACACATATGGGCACACAACCCAATTGCTAGTACAAACCCAGGCGACGATGCTTGGCGTTCTGTGATGTCTTGGTTGTGCCCTAAGGCGGCACACTTTACAAAACGACTGCTGATTAGATGCGACGCACCTCTATCATGATGTTCAGTGAAGCACTCAACAGCCACTACAAGATGATCCTGCCCATGTATGACACTCTTGACAACGCTATATACCCAACTAATCAAACGCAATGGCGTTCACTACTTCGTACACTGCTGTCACAACATGTATTGAAACGCAATCTTCTGCATGTTAAAATGGCTGTTCACTACATTACATAACAGGTTATGTGAAAAGCATCAGGAACCGGAACTGAGTGATACATGTTTTAACCATTCGGATTATATGTAATGTGGTACCCTAATTATCACTTATTGAAAACACCTTACGGAATAATAGAATTGTATTGCTGGCCTCAAAACGTGAAACTAGTGTCTCTACTTTGTCGCCCTGCGAGGTGAAATAATGTTTTATCACTGCCTAATAACGATAACTATCGCCGTCATCTTGGTAGATTTTTCTGTTTCGCGAGTAGAATTGGATTTACAACGTAAACAATTTTGCGATTAGATAATGATAAATTCTCCGACTTTTCCCCGAATGTAACATAAATAATTGTTCTGGCGTTACCTACGCAATAGATAAACACAGTTATCTATTTTGGTCGTCTCTGTACCTTATTTTCCTGGCCTTGTCCAATAACGATGACAAGCATTATCATAATATGGAGATGGTCAAAGTTGACCTTGGTCAAAGGAGTCGGCTGTACTTCACATTCTCTCTCCAGATCAAGGTGCGTGATGTTATGGTGTTGCGTACAAATGTCTGGGTTACTAGCTACCTACCAGAAATACCTATTGCTGAAGATTCATGTATCACCTTGGTCATAGATATGCGAGAGTCCCTATTAAGTACTGGCCCGCTGCTGTTAAACAAAGCGTAGCCGAATTGACTACAGTACATTGTTACCATCTGGTGTGTTTGTTGGCTGTAATCTGTTTACCATCTCGTCACACTATTTTTGACCTTAGTGTATGTAAGATTATAGTACAGCCAAAAATGTTGGTCGACTCCGTAATATCTCGTACACTACGTACGTCAGTGCTAGTACGCTCAACGGAGGTCATTTTTCTGATGAAGGTGACTGTGTAGTCATCGAAACGCAACACTCTAATATTCTACTGGTTGTGTTATAAGAACTTCTATTCTATCTACATAAACTTATTAACTCTTTGATTAATTTTGTGAACGATAATAAAATGGGGAAAATGGTTATTTTATATTTCACAATCCAGATTGGTAATTTTAATGCGATATAACTATTCAAAAGCTAAAATATCAGAAAAAAAAAACAAATCTTGGAAAAGTGTTATTTTTACAGAGAGTCAAAATTGATTCCTTGAGTAATATGCACTAAAACATGGTCGGCTTTACCGGCTACAATTACTATATGTGTTTTAACACACGGCGCACAAAAGCACCAAATTTTGGGCAACTGAGTCTTGTCAAGTATGTTTCGATACATTCAACTGCAGTCCTCAGAATTCCTCAAGCATGCGCTAATACTGAAAAAAAAAATTAAAAAACACAAAAAATAAAATTGCACCAAACTGTTTCAAGCTTATGCATTCCTCTTGGATAATAATGTCTTAAGTTGAGCAAGACGTTAAATGGAAAAGGTGTTAAGCGCCATATTTCTTTGTTTTTGGTTTGCCATTCAAAGATGAACATGAAAATCGAGATCAAAGGATACATGTCGCTTGATGCCAATGACAGTCAATGAGGACTGTTTAAAAGTAATGGCATGTGCCTGAAACTAAACGTCCTGTCATCCTCAAATATCTACAAGAATGCTGTTGACAGATCTAAAAAAGAACCAAGATCCAGCAATATTATTACATTGGAAATAATGATTTAGAATATTTTACGCAAATTTTCATAGAGTCCACCCATTGTGGGCTCCCCTACCCTCTCCGCCCGCCCTTGTTTATACATATATTTATGTGTGTGTGTATTTTTTCTAACTTTCGCACTCCAATAACATATCAAAAGTCCCAAGATTATTAATTGTTAGCATGAAATTGGATTTTTTTCATATGTGGTGCTTAAAACAGTTACTAAGGCAGCTGAGATGTAGTCATATGCATGTCACGCCAAATGTCTGCGGGACCTATGTAGACCACGTGATTCCCAACCATAAGCTAGCCAAGTTCAAACTGGTTGCTTGGCTGAATTGTCGCATTAAGATATAGTAGCTACCTCGGTGAATGTTTAACTTGTGTACCGCTGCTACTTGTTAGAATTTATTATTAACACAGATCAACAAAGTAAGTAAATAGTTAAACAGATAACAAGCGTCATGGACTTTCGTGACGTATGTTTGTCCATGCAAGCTTCTGCAATCTTCCGGAACTTGTTTTTTTTTTTTTTTTTGCAGCGACAGCAGTATGTAATACCTTCCAGCAGTTGTAACGAATTGTGGTGGCATTTTTTTGTCTCTGGTGAATTTGGGGTTTAACAATCTCACTTGATGGTTAAAGTGTTCTACCCCTTACCCCTTACCCCCTCCCCCTCCCCCCTCTCTGTCTCTGTTTCTGACCACTTTGTCCATTGATCTGTGGCTTAAGCTAAACTTTGGTGGTCATTACGGTCCGAAGTGTCTGCCTGAATCAATAATGGCGAGAGATGACCGTTAGACGGGTATCGACTGAACACCGTTGAACACTGCCGAGACTGCGGGATGTAAAAACTTCTAATCAATGTTTGTCGAGGTAAAATCCTCTACTTTCATGCCACTCTCAAAATGTCTGCACCATCGGCAGATGTGATCGTCACAGAAATTAGTCATCTTTTTAAAACACATCTATGACAGTGATACAAATTACGTTTAAGTCTATGCAGCTTGTTTCAGTAGGAAGAGAGGAAATTTTATCCATTTTGAATGCCATGGGGCTCACTGTTCTTTTAATACTTTTCATCTGTACAACCAGAATATGAAACATTGGAATGACGGTGTTCGCGAGGTGCATAGAACGTCACTGAACATTTACACTGATTTCTTTCAAAAGCTTAATCTAGGTTTGTTTTTTTCTTTTGTTTTTGTTTGTTTTTTTTTTATATATCGCTCATCATAAATGAAACCTTATAGGCATTAACTAATATCGTAATCGTGTTTGTTATCGACAATGGTCCGACTGCATATACACAGTTTTCAACATAACTACACGATAAACATAATACTATGGCAATGCATTAGACACCTGAAGCACGAGCATGGCCCGTTTCCAGACTGTGAGTAATACCTAGACAACACCATCTTCCTCTAAAGTAACCGATATACAAATCGATTAGGGGTATGATAGGATGTTCGTTGGTGCACGAGCATCAATGTTTGTATAGGTGTGTGTGTTATAGATTATGATTCTGGACACCTGCACCGATTTCCTAATATCTATAAAGTTAGAGAACGATATTCAGAAATATAAGTTCAAGGGAGGTAATTCACCTACAGGATACGTACGTAAAGTAACCTTTATTTCAAAATTGTTCAAAGGCAATTGACGAGAATGTGTTTAATTTCTTTTACATTGCCACAAACCATTGTGATATTGCATTCTAACTACAACTAAACCTACATTACTCTGAGGTGTTAAACATTTACATTGAGTGATCTCCTCGATGTGACCCAGTAGGTTTCGTTTGGTATCTACAAGTCCCTTGTTTGATTACCTAGAAGGGATGGCAGTGGGCTACTACAATTTGGGAGTGTGTAGTGTCATTAATTATTACTACTGGTAGAACACAGCCAAGGCCGGGGAGCTGTAGCTAGCAATTAGTAACATAGCGTGGACGTTATGATATACACACCGCCTGGTAGTCATAAAATACCGATAAATCTACTGGTTTTCAAATGAG